GAACAAAATTTTCGCCTGAGCTAGGGAACCAATGACGATGTCTATGCAACACCGAAGCAGTTTGTGTATCTCTATGGATCCATCTTGGCAGTGGATGCGAAGTTACCTTTTGATACAGTCTTTGTGTAAACATACATTCTGTAAAACTTAAAATAATAGCCTGGGCTCTTATTTTCCCAAATCATCGAATTGCACCGGCTTGTATTTGAGACAGGCGTTTATATGAAATTTGATTAATATGCGTGAGGGAGAGAGAGCAAGACAGCGCTCGTGTTGTTTGAAGACGTGAGAGTGCGCGCGCGTCCATTGGCAGTAGGATGATTGGATGACGATTGGGCCGATTTGTTGTACATATGAAGGGTGTTTCTGCCTATGCAAATTATGACATATTCAATAAGTGTAGAGCTCATGTATATATTCAATTAATTTCAAAAGAAACTTGTAATACAAAAAAAGTTACTTTTCCTGTATACTTTTACTTTGTAAAGTTTTATTGTGGTAGGAATAAAGGAAAACATTAAGCCTATTTGGGTGTATTTTGGGCATATTCGAATAGCTCATTTGCATAATAAAATTCATTTTCAAAGAAACTTCTAATACAAAATGTTTTACTTTTCTTGTAGACTTTCATTGTGTAAAGTTTTATTGTGGTAGGAGTAAAGGAAAAAATTAAGCCTATTTGGGTGTATTTTGCGTATATTCGATTAGTGTATAGCTCATTTGCATAATAAAATTATTTTTCAAAGAAACTTGTAATACAAAAAATGTTACTTTTCATGGATACTTTCATTGTATAAAGTTTTATTTTGATAGGAGTAAAGGAAAAAAATAGCCCCATTGGAGTGTATTGTTGTCTGGCCTTACTGGCACACATCTCGGATTGATGCGAATTAAACATATTTCCTCAACTAGGATTTCTTCGGACTTTTAGTATGTTGTTCTGGACACCTCATAGAAATGATCTATGCTGAAAAAAATTCTTTTACAATTAGTCTGTCGTAAAACGCTACTTTGCCTGGACTATTTGGGGAGAAGTGAAAGTGGCCGCTCGGCTAGAATCGATACTTCGGGAGATTAGTATTTGTATCGACATAACATTAAAATTAGAATGGCAATATTTGCTTGGCTGTACCTTTAGCCCATCGTTCAATAATATTTCTTTGCCATCATGCACAGGTAGGAGTGAAGTTTCTACGCAGACACAGAAGATTTTCCAGCCGTTATTGCAGTTGAGATTTGTGGTTTATTGAAGTAAAAGTACATCAAAGATGAACATACCAGTTGTTTTCTTGTCTTGTTTCCAGTTGTGAGTTGGGTGTTCTAATCAGGTTCTAACCCAGATAGCAAACTGACATTGAATCAACGTGGAAATATGACATCGAAACAACGTTGATCTGACATTGTTTTGCTCATCGAATTAACGTTGAACCAACGTCAGACGCATCATTCTTTCAAAACTGACCAAAAATCAACTTAAAAACAACGCGTTGTTTCAACGTTATGAAAGCAAACATTTTCGATTTTCATTTTGCTTTGAAGAATGCCGCGTCTGACGTTGGTTCAACGTTAATTCGATGAGCAAAATCAACGTTGTTTCAATGTCATGAGAGACGTCGTTTCCACGGTGATTCAATGTCAGTTTGCTGTCTGGGAATCCATGGTCTGGTGAGAACTGTTTGTGCTCCCCCTACCTGTGCATTCCATTTCCTATCACCTATGCCCCTTTAAATACAACCATGTGCATCTAATCACTGCCACCTAGTGTCTAAATACTAATATAAATATATCCAAACAAAATAAACTATCATGCAAACAATAAACAAACACACCGGCCCCTAATTGTTTTATATAACAAATAACAATTACCAAAAAATAATGAAAGGAGCAGTGTAGATTACACTTTTTTCAAATAGTCATTTTTTAGGCCAGAGGTTCCAGTACATGGCACCTGATGAGATCTGGTCATTACCATCAGTTCTTGTCAAATCTCAGTCTCTTTAATCAGACATATCTTTGTTATTGGTCTTTCCAATATGTTGTTTTTGGTCTGAAGTCGAACGATACGCACAAGACCTTTTGCATCTGCTTTCGTCTCCAGTATTCTGCTCATTAACCAGGAGCCTCGTGGCGCAGTGGAGTCAACCACCACAACTATTTCACCTGGAGCAAAGTTCCTTTTAACCTTTGACCATCGCTGTCGTTCTTGGATTAAAGGTAAGTACTCCTGTGTCCACCTTTTCCAGAAGAGGTCTGCCATGTATTGCACTTGTCTCCATCTGCGCCTTAGGTATAAGTCCTCTGTAAAGGCCAAACGAGTAGTTAAGTACTATTTTAATTATAGCTATGCTGTTTTATTATTACGGTGTCGGACTTTTATTTTGATAACCAAAGAAACCGGATGTAAAGTGACGTAAATTAACCGGGCAAACGGCGGAAAGGACGAAAAGAAAAGTCTGAAAAGGTTCACGGAAAAACAGTTTAAACTACAAGGTTTAGCTTCAGTCAATTGGGGAACAAGGTTTGTAGAGTTTATGAGAAATATATTTGAGCTAGTCTACTGGAAATGTTTTTTTGTATAATGTATAATTTGGTAATGCTATCCTATTGAAACTAATGTAATGAGCCGTGTAACGTTCGAAATGTGATGGTAATGCATGGTTTATTTGTTTTTACTCAGCTCTTACGTTGATTGATGACAAGGAAAGCAATAAAAGTTTAACCATCAGTTCTGGCCTTCTCAATATTGACTGGATGCTACATCCTCTCTTACGAACAGTCCAGGTGGTAGTATTGGCTTGGTTTTCAACAGAAGAAGGTGGTTTGGGGTGAGTGCTTCCAGGTCTATTGGGTCATCAGAAAGCTTTGTAATGGGTCCATCATTTAAAATTGCTTCAATTTCACAAAATAAAGTTTGCAGTCCTTCATCATCCAGAACTTGTTGGTTAAGAACAGAGTGCAGCACATTTTGAACCATGCGGATCAAACGTTCCCATACACCACCATGATGAGATCCTGCTGGGGGGTTGAAGTACCATTTTATTCCCTTCTGAAGCATAGCAGTCTGGATTTTGTCCTGATTCAACGCATTGAGTGCTTCTCTCAGTTCTCTTTCAGCTCCAATAAAATTTTTGCCATTGTCTGATCTGAAAGACAACACTTGACCTCGTCGACAAATAAATCTTCGTAATGCGTGGATGCAGGAGTCTGTGTCAAGAGAATATGCAACTTCAAGGTGTACTGCCGTGCGTGCCATGCAGGTGAGGATTACGCCATATCTTTTAACAAGACTCCGTCCTCTCTTGATCTCTATGAGACCAAAGTAGTCTACTCCTACATCTGTAAATGGAGTCTTGTCTGGTAGAAACCTTTCCAGGGGTAAGTCTGCCATTTTCTGTTCTCCAACTCTTCCCCGTTGTCGTTTACATGCAACACAGTCTGCTATGATCCTTCTTGCTGCAGTATTTTTTACGTAGTCGAGACAGCATGTGATTTCTTCCTCCGTGGCCAAGTTGTTCATGGCTATGTCGAAGCAATAGTGTGGATGTGTAAGTCTTTCGAGAGGATAACTGGATGCTTGACCTCTTCAGGCATCACTAGTCTAGATGACCTCCTACTCTCAGAAGTCATCGTCCAACATTGGATCCATTTTGTACAGATGACTGCTTCTTTTAACAGCCTCTAGTGTAGATAGTTCTTCTTCGAAGCTTTGTCTTTGACTGAAAGAGATGACTGCACGTTATGCTTGCATTAGATCCTCAGGATTTAAACACTGTCTTTGGAGTGTTGCCTTAAAAAACTTGCATCTCCTTTAATTGGCTGGACTCATCTTTCAAGGTACCTGCAGCTGTATGAATCTCCTTTCTTTTTCTAGTCAGCAGCAAGATAGCTGTTTTTACTTTAAGTAGCCAAGCTACAGCTGTCATCAGACTTCTCCATGAAGAGAAATAACTTACCAGAGAGCTGGTGGGGTTTAAATGATCTTTCACAATGAGGTTGCTTGTGATTTCTTGCTTGACTTCTGGATCATTGGTAGAGATTGCAGTTTCCAAATAAGGTTTCTGCCATTCTTTGTCTGGTTGACAGAGAAACTCTGGTCCCTTGGTCCACCTCTTGCAGCTTAAGAAGCGGTTTGCTGTTAGCTCACTAGAGGCTTCATCTGCCGAATTTTCCTTTGTGCTAACATACAGGGGTTGGACAATGAAACTGAAACACTGGCCAATGTTGGAGGTTTCACATCTACACTGCAAAAAATGCCTTTCTTGAAATAATCAAGATTTACTTGAATCTAGTTAAAGTTAACTCAATTCAAGCAAAAAAATCTGCCAATGGGGTAAGCAAAACTGACTTGATAAGAATTCTTGAAAATAGCATAAATATCTAGTCACTGATAAATGCAATTAAATCTTAAATCTAGGCAAAACTGCTTAAAACTATGTAGTTTTTACTTATTATAAAAATTGAATAATAAATAAATTTAGTGAAAATTGCATTAAAACTAGAACATTAATCTTAAATGTAGTCGCAAAAAAAAAAATCTGTTGGTCTTAAAATTAGACAAAAATGCTTAAAACTATGCAGGTTTTACTTATTATAAAAACTGAATAATAAATAAATTTAGTGAAAATTGCATTAAAACTAGAACATTTAATCTTAAATCTAGTCACAAAAAAAAATTGTTGGTCTTAAAAGTAGACAAAAAATGCTTAAAACTGCAGTTTTTACTTATTATCAGAATTAAATAATAAATAAATTTAGTGAAAATTTAATTAAAACTAGAATATTTTATCTTAAATCTAATCACTAATAAACCATTGGTCTTAAAACTAGACAAACATGCTTAAAACTATGCAGTTTTCACTTTTTTAAGCACAGGATATAAAGTCATTTTTAGTGTATTGATTTAAAACTAGAAAATGAAACCTTATTTAGATTTTCTTTAAGATGCGAGACCTAAAAATAGATGAAAATTATTTGAAACAACCCAATAAAGAAATATAGTATACATTTAAATAAATAATCAAACAAACAACATATTCAGATTTGCTGAACATTTATTAAAGAACATCTTCTTTAACAAATGGAGCACATAAAGCAGGATGAACTGATTCCTAGGCTATTCAACTGACATAAGGAAGTATCAGTGTCATAACATGGCACATCAACAGCAAATGTTCTGCATAAAACGGCTATGCCTCAGTCTGTAAGCTGCATACACTGTATAACCTCAAACAGCTTTAAACAGCAATTACTCAATTAATGTATTGCATTAATACAATTGATTCAAGAAACACTACTGAAAAAGCAGGGAAATCTCATACTAACACAAATCAAGTGCAAATATAATGAAGAACAAACCAAAAAATAAAAACAAAAAAACACTCCATCACTGCCTCAGCCATACAGGTTTGCAACAGTATTTATTCAGCAAACATTTTCCATTCTTGAATGGCCTTTTTATAAGAGGGGGTTGCATCCTGCTCATGGAGGACATCTACCAGAACTTCTGTTTGCAACACAGACAAAAGTGTGGCAATACACCTGGGATAGGTCAGGTGGAACGCATAGTAATATGCCAGGAGGTAGAGAAGCCCCTCGTGCAGCAAATCTTTCTCAAAGGTTACAACTGGAGTTGTACCTACAACCACCATGCAGTTCTCCTCACCAACCAGCAAAACAGGACTAGAAAGCACACGCCGGTGGATGAAGGTATCAGGGTCCTCTGAGGGCTAGAAAACCAAATATATAAATACAGAATTTAGACTACAAACACAGCAAAACAGCAAAATATGTAGTTAAGTCAAGTCACCCTCATTTATATAGCGCTTTTAACAATAGATTGTTTTAAAGCAGCTTTACAGTGATAACAGAAGATTACAGTAACATTGATTGTGTTGGATTCACAGCAGCTCTAGAATAAAGTTATTGTCCAGCTAAAGTTAGTTTTTATTGATTCATTTGCACTTACACAACGCCGTTTTAACTGAAAACAGAACACTTTGATGTGTTGTGGCAGACCATTTGCATAACAGTGTTTGGTTAAGTAATCTTAATTTTATGAAGCGAAGAGAATATTTTCTGTGCACCAAAAATACAAAATAATGACTTTATTCAACAATTTCTTCTCTTCTGTATCAGTCTCTGACGCGCAATCACGAGAGCACCACGACGTACGCGTGTGGAAAGCCAATCAATGACGGAAAGCCAATCAATCAATGACTGCTATGTTTACAAGCAGAAGAAGATACACACACAACATAAAACAGTTCAAAACTATGTCTGCAGATTTCGAAACATAGGATGAATTGCATTTTTTTAAAACCAGAATATACAGAGAACGAACTAAAAGAGATAGAAGAGGCTGCAACAAAAACACAGCCACAAGCTTCTGAGAGACAGAGAGCAATGAAGAGCTGGTGGTGTAGATCATCAGTGCCAAGTGATGCCTACTGAACAGGAGTGTGTGTGCTGCACCGATTGTGATATTGTCATGCCACATCTTGAAAGTTTGGATATTTCAGATGATGATACGCATGTATCTCGCTGTATAACAGAGGACCCGGCTTTCCACACGCATATGTCGTGGTGCTCTCGTGATTGCGCGTCAGAGACTGATACAGAAGAGAAGAAATTGTTGAATAAAGTCATTAATTTGTATTTTTGGCGCACAGAAAATATTCTCTTCGCTTCATAAAATTAAGATTGAACCACTGTAGTCACTTGGACTATTTTAACAATGTCTTTCATGCCTTTCTGGCCCTTCAAAGTGTTAATTAAATAGCTGTCAATGGACCCAATGGTAATAATATAATATAATATAATATAATATAATATAATATAATATAATATAATATAATAAATTATTATTACTGAAGAAAACTCACCGTAAGAACGTGGAAAAGAGCCTCACTGATTTGGACCACTTTCTTGGGTACTGCAGAGCCAGATGGGAAGAGCAATGGCAGGGCAGTAAAAACAGCAATGGCATGTTCAACTAGTAAAAAAAAAACACAGAAGAGAAGAGATCTATATTAATATGCACTAAGAAATTTAACACTTTATAATAAGTATACAGTAATAACGTACTTGAAAATCATTAGCAAACTATTAGTTTATAGTTAATTAATAGTTCATATATTGCAGTATATACATTGTTAAAGGGTTAGTTCACCCAAAAATGAAATTTTTGTCAGTATTTACTCACCCTCATGTTGTTCCAAACCTCTAACAAATAAACACATAGAGGTTTGGAACAACATGAGGGTGAGTAAATACTGACAGAATTTTCATTTTTGGGTGAACTAATCCTTTAATATTTTAATATGCTAAATACAAATAGTGAGTTCATTGTCACTGTTATTAACACAATTATTACTGTTTAATTAGCTCGTAGTAAAAAAAAATTGATTGGTTATTAGGTAAATGAACTGCGCTTTCAACAGACCCATGGCCACCAAAGCGCTTTACATTTTGCCTCACATTCACCCATCGACGATGTCAGCCATGCAAGACTCATCCAGCTCGTCGGGAGCAGCTGGGGTTAGGTGTCTTGCTAATGACACCTCGACACTTGGTCAGGTGGAACCAGGGATTGAACCACCAACCTTCCGGTTTGTAGACAACCACCTGAACCACTGCCGCCCATTAGGAGAAAATTGTTTTCTTTAGATTGAGAATGGAAAATGTAATTAAGTAAGTGCTTTAAACCAACCTTTATTAGACATTAAATGCATTCATATTCAGTGTTCCTTAAAATGTTTACAAATAGATGTAAACAATAAAATACAAATACAATGAGCAGTTAACTAGCTAATAGTTTGCAAATGATTTGCAAGGACTTTATCACTGTATTTATTATAAAGTGTTACTGAAATTAGGTGTGTGGGTATTATCTATAAAAAAAATCTATCAATAAAATACAGCTTTACCTCCATTTAATGTCCTTGGAGGCTTCATGATTTTCTTCATGACACCATAAAACTGAACCTTGGAGTAGAAGGTCTCCCACCTGCCTTTCACCTCAGAAATATATTGGCAATTGTTTGGCTCAATGATTCTCCGCAGTTCATCCATTGTCTGAGATAAATAATTATTAAAAGTTATAAAAATCATCAACCTCTATGTCTGCAGTTAGGTAGATGATCAGTCTAAATTATGCTTCAGTGTACTCACATGGTCCAGTTCTTTGAAGCATGTGTAACCGGCAGAGAAGTCACTGTCTGGTTGAAGTTTGTCCCTCTGCAGCTACGGTAGCCCCCTGACGTCACACAGCTAGCTGTGAGTGGCTAAACAACTCATTTGCGTCTAAGCCACTTCCTATAAAACAGTCTGCACTGCTGTGCTTAGGAATTCGCTCGTGTTTGGATACTTTTCTTGTCTGTTACTTCGGTATGTGGTTCTCCTGTGCAACGAAGGTATGTTAAATGTTTATATGTTGTAGTAAACTTGCTATTTATTGTATCTAATACTGGGCTATTGGGCAATAGGTGTTTTACTGATTGCCAGACGCTTCCGGGTAATCGTGCTGTGTATTACGGAAGGTATTTGCACATTTTACTGTTAATCATAATGTGAGTGTCATTGTTGGGACGTATTTTAATGAGCACATTTGCGCACAGGTCTTGGGCAAAGCACCTGCTGGGTAGCTGTACCGCATTTAAGCACAACATCAAGAAGGTATATGTTTATTGCGTTGCAAGAAGATCCAGTGTGAAAAGCTTTTAAAATGAGTCTGATTGTGTTACCCTGACATAATTCGTGGCTGTGTTTTCTTGTTAAGTTTTAATATAAATGTATTTAATGAATATGCTGTGTGTAACAACTGTCCTGTAGGATTGTGAAGATTGGCGCAAAGGGCTGTTTTCCCACTGTGTCAATTCATTTGTCAACGTTGAGGTAAAAGAAAATTATATTGTTTGCAATGTTACATGACTATTGGTGCATGTGTGAATTGAGCATTAATTTTAATGATTTTGTGTCTTCAGGCAGATTGCTCCTGCTGCTTTGCCTTGCCTAAATTACGTTAGATCTTTTCTTTTTTTTATTGTTTCTTTCGTAGCCTCCGTCTAACGAACTGTCCGACTGATGTGGTATTGGCTGTTTTGCTAGTCATAGTTTTACATTCTCAATCTACTCTGCTAGTGATAACTCACTTATTCTTTTATTTCTTCTTTTCCAGAGTTTTATAATAACTGCTCACGAGAGAGGTTCCTGGTCCCGTCCTCGCGCATTGCACCATGTATTGTAGTGGTAAATTGCACTTCACAATATTGATTTGATCATTGGCTTGTAGTGGTTGTGCCTGTGTGTGTGTGTGTGAATGCATGTGATCGTGGGCACCAGATTCCAGAGCACGGGCGGTGAGAATCACGCGTGTCCCGGACAGGTAATCTGCCTTGGATCAGTATTTTCTGTTTAAATTGCTTATCTTTCAACAGCCAATACCAGGTCTAGTCTTTCGTGCTAGTGCTGTGTCTCTAGTATGACGGTGTGTCTCTTTTAGTCATAACATTGTACAATAAAATTATTGTTTCTTTTCTACTGAAAGCACGTCTCTGTTTATTTCTTTCTTAGTGTATTTCTACGAACCTGCTTGCCTTAGATTAGGTTTGTAGCAGCTAAGGTACTGAGTATATCCCGGTGTGAGAGGCACCAGGTGGCGTAGTCCAGAACCTTTAATCCACAGCTCTGGTCACAAAGTGGCGTAGTCGGCAGGATCCTTGCACACAGAGACGTGTCTTTTTTTTCTTTTTTTTCTTTCTCCTTTTTTTTCTTTTTGTCTATTTATATTCTGATTTTCAAGGGCAAAGCAGCAGTGGGCACAGCGTGGTGCTTAAAGGAGAAGTGGGAAAGCCTCTGACTGCCCCACTGCCTCTCCTGTGACGTGGGCATTACTCTGCTACAGCAATGGATGAAGTCGAACAGTTGAGAGAACAGATCCGTCAGCTGCAGGCAGACAATGGCCGCCTACGTCAGCAACCACCACCGCCGCCTCAGCCGGACAATTCTGCCAACCCTGCTAACCCTGTTTCGAATGAACGGTTGATTTATCTCCCTAGAGAAAGGAAGTGTCCTGTATTTCGGGGTAGGGTGGGTATTGACATTGTTGAGTGGGTGGAAGAGGTTGAGGTTTGTGCACGTACTAGACATTTGGGTGCACTTGACAAAGCTTACTTTATGTTTGATCATCTGGATGGGGAGGCTAAAGATGAGATTCGCTATAGACCAAAGGCAGATCGGGAAAACCCGGAAAGGATTGCAGATATTCTCAAAGAACTTTATGGGTGTTCCCAGTCTTATGTTGCCTTACAAGAAAGTTTCTTTTCTAGAAAACAATTAGATGGTGAATCATTGCAAGAATACTCACATGCTCTCTTTTCTCTGATGGAAAAAGTTAAACAGGTCTCCCCTGACTCAGTACCCCAGTTTGACATGCTGCTCCGTGACCAGTTTGCAGAGCACGTTATTGACTCGGACCTTCGCAGGGAATTGAAGAGACTTGTCCGTCAGACCCCAGGGATGTCCATGCTGGAAGTGCGTGCTGCTGCCATCCGGTGGGAGTGTGAGGGCAGGCCCAGTGACTTCAATAGGGGTAGGAGTCATTCAGTTCCCTCTCTTTGCGCTATGCAGTACTCCAAAACTCAGCCAGGCCGAGCCCCATCGCCCGTCAGTATAGCAAGTTCAGAAATGGCAGAGCTGCGGTCCATGCTGCTGAAGCAACAGGAACAGATCAATCACTTAACTAGTGCCTTAACTACTTTGCAGGGAGTAGTTCGCCCAGTCTATCCAAGTCGCCCCTCTCAAGTTAGTCGGCCTTCAACTGTCATTTGTAGGCGATGCTTAAAGCCTGGTCACTATGCCCGAGAGTGTAATAATGAGAGAGTAGTAGCTCCTAATGACACCCCCCAGGCCCAAGCTCAGGCGAATGTTTCAGTTTCTCAGTCGGAAAACTAGCACCCTTCAGCGTGCAGAGCCACACGCTGGGAGGGGATGGTAGCGGCTCTCAGAATCAGGACACTTTTATTCACCCTGTAACCTCCCTGGTCGCTCAGTGCCCAAAGGTAGCTGTGAGAGTAGGGGGAGTAGTTGTCAGCTGTCTTTTAGACACAGGGTCCATGGTATCTACCTTAGTGGAGAGTTTCTTTGTGCAACATTTCAAGGATAAACTTCAACAGTGTAAATGGTTGCAGCTTCGGGCTGCAAATGGTCTAGACATACCCTATGTTGGGTATGCTGAGTTAACAGTTGAAGTATTAGGGAAGGTAATCCCCCAAAGAGGTTGGCTAGTGGTCAAAGATCCCCCAGGTCAGCTCTCCCCTCCACTTGTGCCGGGTGTCCTCGGGATGAATGTTATTCGGGAATGTTATACTGAACTGTTTGGCCAACATGGTTCTTCTTTGTTTGATCTCCCACCGGTAGTTCATGCTTCCCTCCCATGGCGGCACGCCTTGCAGCATTGTCATCGGGTCCAGCTCAATTCTCGCCCACCCAAAACGGGTGTAGCCAAAGTTAGAGGTAGAAGACCCATCCATATACCAGGCGGCACTGTAAAATTGGTGGCAGCCACCTGCTCCCCTCAATTTTGTGATGCTCCTGCTGTCCTTTTGGAACCGGCTAGCGGCTCTTTACCTAGTGGGCTCCTAGTTTCGCCTGCGCTAGTGCAAGTAGAACAAGGTACAGCCTTTATCCCGGTAGTTAATGTAGGGTTTACACGTGCTACAATATATCCCCGCCAGTCGCTAGGGTTGCTTGTTCACGCTACCATTGAGGGCCTTCCTGTGGGTATTTCTGAAGACCAACCAGAGACGGAGGCTGTTGTGGCTGGCATGCAGGTTCCCAATGGGGAAGTCAGGCCTAAGTCAGTGAGGGAGCAGATACAAGCCCTGGATTTATCAGGGCTAGTGGAGGCTGAGCAAGAACAGATAAGGGCATTCTTGTTAAAACATGAGTCAGTGTTTTCAGCTTTTGAGGGGGACCTTGGTTGTACTAACCTTATCTCTCATGATATTCCTCTGCTAGACGACCAACCAGTTAGGCAACGTTACAGGCGTCTCCCCCCTTCTGATTATGATGCCGTTAAGGCCCACCTGCGACAGCTACTAGACAGCCAGGTTATACGAGAAAGTAGTAGCCCCTATGCCTCTCCCATTGTGATTGTGCGTAAGAAATGTGGTGGCCTACGTATGTGTGTGGATTACAGACAGCTCAACAGTAGGACCAGAAAGGATGCCTTCCCTCTCCCCCGCATCGAGGAGTCTTTGGATGCTTTATCGGGGGCTCAGTGGTTTTCCACGCTGGACCTGGCTAGCGGTTATAATCAGGTACCTGTGACCGAACAAGATCGTCCAAAGACTGCCTTTTGCACGCCTTTTGGGTTATTTGAATTTAACCGTATGGCCTTTGGACTGTGTAACGCCCCAAGCACTTTTCAACGACTGATGGAGAGAATGTTTGGAGCGCAGCATTGCCAGTCCCTTTTACTTTATCTGGACGACATAATTGTTTTTTCTTCTAGTGTTGAAGATCATATAAACCGCCTGGATCTAGTGTTGAGCCGTTTAAGGAAAGAAGGTCTGAAAGCAAAGCTGGAGAAGTGCTGTTTTTTCAAGAAAGAAGTCCAATATCTGGGCCATCTTGTCTCCCGTGAAGGTGTTTCCACTGACCCAGCCAAGGTGTCCGCAGTGGCTAAGTGGCCCCGTCCCACCACCGTGTCTGAATTGAGATCTTTCCTTGGTTTCGCGGGTTATTACAGGCGATTTGTGGAGGGCTTTTCTAAGCTGGCAGCTCCTTTAAACCGCCTGGGGGCAGAGCTTGGTGGTACGAAGACCCGCAAGGGCCAAGGGCCACGGCTTGATGGAGTGTGGACAGACGTCTGCGAGAACAGCTTCCAGGACTTGAAGCAGAGGTTGGTGAGTGCCCCCACTTTGGCGTTTGCTGATTTTAACTTACCATTTATTCTAGAGGTGGATGCCAGCCACATTGGTCTCGGCGCAGTGCTCTCGCAGGAGCAGCAAGGAAGGATCCGGCCAATCGCCTATGCTAGTCGTAGCCTCAGTCCGGCAGAAAAGAACTACAGTTCGATGAAGCTGGAGTTCCTTGGAATGAAGTGGGCCATGACCGAAAAGTTTCGGGAATATCTGTGGGGTCAACAATGCACTGTGTGGACGGACAATAATCCCCTGAGCCATCTGGGGACTGCCAAGCTGGGAGCGACCGAACAGCGGTGGGAGGCTGAGCTTGCTGCTTTCAATTATACCATCCGTTATAGGCCTGGTCGTACTAACAGGAATGCAGATGCCCTCTCCCGACAACCTGCAGGACCACTGGGACGGGCCACCGAGTCCTCAACACTAGGGACAGCCATACCAGTTCTTGTACAACAAACGACCAGATGTCAAGATCCACCACTGGCATTCCAGATGGCTGTCTCGGCTTTCCCCTCTCGCACCCTTGAGGAATTAAGAAGGCTACAAGCAGCGGACCCCACTATCGGAGCCTTCTTGCCGTTCTGGCTGGCACAGGGACCGCCTGACCCGACAGTGCGTAGGACATTGCCGGGCCCTACCCGTGTGCTGCTGCAACAATGGGACCGTATTGTGGGTGCCGATGGACTGCTCTACCGCCAAACATTCCGTCCAGATGGGGGTGAAGAGGTGCGGCAGCTCTTGTTGCCTGCATGCCTAAAGGAGGAAGTCTTACAGCAGCTCCACAACGACCATGGTCACCAGGGGGTTGAACGCACCACTGAGCTGATAAGACGGCGGTGCTATTGGCCAGGAATGGGGGAAGATATTAAGCATTGGTGTCAGAACTGCGAGCGGTGTACCCTTGCAAAGTCTTCACAACTCCGACCCCAAGCGCCCATGGGGCACCTCCTAGCATCTCGCCCAAACCAGATATTAGCAGTGGATTTCACCTTCCTGGAGCCTGCACTGGATGGTAGAGAACAAGTGTTGATCATGACTGATGTTTTTACTAAATTCACACAGGCCGTGCCCACCAGGGACCAAAAGGCAACGACTGTGGCCAATGTCCTCATCCGGGAGTGGTTCTTTCGTTTTGGGGTCCCGGCTCGCCTGCACTCTGATCAGGGACGTAGCTTCGAGAATGCCATCATCTACCAGTTGTGTGCCCTGTACGGGATCCAGAAGACCCGGACCACCCCTTACCACCCTCAGGGCAACGGCCAGTGTGAGCGTTTCAACCGCACGATGCATGATCTGCTCCGTACTCTGCCCATGGATATGAAGCGCCGCTGGCCAGAGCACCTACCCCAATTAGTGTTTAGTTACAACACTGCTGTTCATCAGACCACTGGCGACTCACCATATTACCTGATGTTTGGGCAAGACCCCCAGTTACCAGTGGACTTCCTGCTTGGCAGGGTACAAGAGCCTAGACACGGGCATGCGTGTGAATGGGTCCGAGAGCACCAGCGGCGCCTTAATTTGGCCTTCCATAATGCCAAGGAGCGTATGCAAGCGGCTGCTTCCAAGAGGAAAGAACGGCATGACCAGAAAATACAGAGTGAGCCACTGGCAGAAGGACAGCACGTCTACATCAGAGACCATGCAATGAGGGGTCGTTCGAAGATCCAAGATGCCTGGGGCGCCACCATACATCAGGTCATCCGTGCACCCCCACTTGGTGGGGTGGTATACTCTGTGGCTCCAGCACAGGACCTCAGCAAAATACGACAAGTACATCGAACTATGCTAAAACCAGCCCACTTGGACCAGGATCCACAAACACCCAACAGACCTGTGGAACTGCAGGAGGAAACAAGCCAGTCAGCAGAGAGTGACTCCCCTGGCCAATGGGTTCTTGTAAGCTCTCGGGAAGAGGTTCCACCTTTGCAGCGTGCCACAACTCTTCCAGTGAATGCCCCCATGCTGGCTTTGCCCGATTCCCCGCATGTCGCCCCCATCACAGACGAGACGCCATCTGGCTCAGTGGCACTCCGGAGAACAGCTCGGACTACTGCGGGAAGACATGCCAATCTACACCACCTCCCAGTTCCAGTGGTGAGTAGGGCAGATGGGGCTACTAACTCTCAAGTACTTGGTTCTAGCAATAAAGTGACAACGGTTTTTCGTCCTTGGTATTAGGCTACCCCCTTACATGTTCTTTACCATCCCTTAATAAAAGGAATAAAAGATAGTTATGATATATTGATCTTATCAGCGGGACGCCGATAACAAATCGGGGGGGTAGAGTGTAACCGGCAGAGAAGTCACTGTCTGGTTGAAGTTTGTCCCTCTGCAGCTACGGTAGCCCCCTGACGTCACACAGCTAGCTGTGAGTGGCTAAACAACTCATTTGCGTCTAAGCCACTTCCTATAAAACAGTCTGCACTGCTGTGCTTAGGAATTCGCTCGTGTTTGGATACTTTTCTTGTCTGTTACTTCGGTATGTGGTTCTCCTGTGCAACGAAGGTATGTTAAATGTTTATATGTTGTAGTAAACTTGCTATTTATTGTATCTAATACTGGGCTATTGGGCAATAGGTGTTTTACTGATTGCCAGACGCTTCCGGGTAATCGTGCTGTGTATTACGGAAGGTATTTGCACATTTTACTGTTAATCATAATGTGAGTGTCATTGTTGGGACGTATTTTAATGAGCACATTTGCGCACAGGTCTTGGGCAAAGCACCTGCTGGGTAGCTGTACCGCATTTAAGCACAACATCAAGAAGGTATATGTTTATTGCGTTGCAAGAAGATCCAGTGTGAAAAGCTTTTAAAATGAGTCTGATTGTGTTACCCTGACATAATTCGTGGCTGTGTTTTCTTGTTAAGTTTTAATATAAATGTATTTAATGAATATGCTGTGTGTAACAACTGTCCTGTAGGATTGTGAAGATTGGCGCAAAGGGCTGTTTTCCCACTGTGTCAATTCATTTGTCAACGTTGAGGTAAAAGAAAATTATATTGTTTGCAATGTTACATGACTATTGGTGCATGTGTGAATTGAGCATTAATTTTAATGATTTTGTGTCTTCAGGCAGATTGCTCCTGCTGCTTTGCCTTGCCTAAATTACGTTAGATCTTTTCTTTTTTTTATTGTTTCTTTCGTAGCCTCCGTCTAACGAACTGTCCGACTGATGTGGTATTGGCTGTTTTGCTAGTGATAGTTTTACATTCTCAATCTACTCTGCTAGTGATAACTCACTTATTCTTTTATTTCTTCTTTTCCAGAGTTTTATAATAACTGCTCACGAGAGAGGTTCCTGGTCCCGTCCTCGCGCATTGCACCATGTATTGTAGTGGTAAATTGCACTTCACAATATTGATTTGATCATTGGCTTGTAGTGGTTGTGCCTGTGTGTGTGTGTGTGAATGCATGTGATCGTGGGCACCAGATTCCAGAGCACGGGCGGTGAGCATCACGCGTGTCCCGGACAGGTAATCTGCCTTGGATCAGTATTTTCTGTTTAAATTGCTTATCTTTCAACAGCCAATACCAGGTCTAGTCTTTCGTGCTAGTGCTGTGTCTCTAGTATGACGGTGTGTCTCTTTTAGTCATAACATTGTACAATAAAATTATTGTTTCTTTTCTACTGAAAGCACGTCTCTGTTTATTTCTTTCTTAGTGTATTTCTACGAACCTGCTTGCCTTAGATTAGGTTTGTAGCAGCTAAGGTACTGAGTATATCCCGGTGTGAGAGGCACCAGGTGGCGTAGTCCAGAACCTTTAATCCACAGCTCTGGTCACACATGGGTATGCCTGTAATATTTGTGTAGGCCTGTCTTGCTCCTTCAAAGTATTTGAGTCGATGAAATTTCTTCTGGACTGGAACTCCAGGTCTAATAGATGAGTTACAGCAGCTTTGTTTGGCTTCTTTGATTTGTACATTTCTCGTAGAGTCCTGTAATGTCGTGCCTGTGTTTTCCGGCTGTCGAGGCTGGTGTCTTGACCATCGGCTATAATTCAGCCATACAAAATAATTAGAATATATCATTGAACGAGATGCACAAAATCAACAATAGGTGGTTTGCAGTCACGTGATTGTGTTGACGCGCGAAAGTCAGACGGAGGGCAAGGAGTGAAGAGCGCAATGGACGAGATGGAGGAAAATCCGTACTGTACTACTTTAGACGCTATTACAAGAGAAATATATAAACAGAAAATCGTGACGTTGTCGAAAATCGAAAATGTTGGACGTGATCCTTACGTTATGAAGAGGACCGATTTTCAACTGAATTGAGAGATTTGCCTGCCATCGAGGCTGTAGATATCAGCAACTAACTCGTCTTACAGACATACTTTGACTTTACAAAGTTCTGAAACTGGTACGTTACACAAACAGCCACATAAGTGTATTTAAACACCTGAATAATGTAATTATAAGCCACATAAATAATGTATTAACTCACATTTGACGAAGTGATCACTGCACACACACACGGACATTTTCCCATTCGGCTCCTCCCCACCGCAGACGTAGGTTTGCAAGGCATTTTTCCATGTGTTTTTCTGTCAATTTCTTGTATTTTCCTCCCTTATGAACAACAACTTTGGCCACACGATAAAAACTCCTCATGGTTTGATCGATTTGAGCAACCATAAACGACGCAAAACATAGGCATTTTCAGTTTGTTATAGTGCTTCCTAAATATAGAAAATCACTTCCTGGCCTCCATCTGCATTTCGCACCATGGCAACGCAGTGGGGTGAAGTCATGTGAAAACAAGCTATTCAAGAATGTATGCCACATAAAAATAAATAAGGCAGAATTAGGCTTACATATATTACCAAAGATTATGGTATTATTTATTGCAAAAATTCAATATTTTTTATGGTAAATTTTGATGTACATACATGCTTCATCGATGCTGTCATTGTCTTGCGGTGGGGTGCTTGATTTTGAAGGTGGTGATAGATGAAGTGTTGATGCACTGGAATCAGCATCATAGTCACTTGCCACTGCAGCAGAAGGTTCTTCGTCCAGACGGGCTCTCTTGGAAGGAGGGTGTTTGGCCTTCACAGGACTTCGGATATTTGAAAGTCGCTTCAAGAGCTTTTTGGCAACAGTGTCCTGTACAACAGAACAAAATCATTAATGAACAGTTTTGAAACTGAAACAACAAAACAACATGCTTTAACTATAAATATTCAAGTAAATAAAGTCACTTACCCACTTGTGACTAGATCCAGTTGACTTATCTTTTATCATAGGGTAGTATTCCACTAACCGCTTTGCCATGGCAAGAACTTCATGTTTAGTGGGGTATTTGCAGTCATCTGAAGACGCTCTTGCAATTGAGATCATATTTGTCATGGTATTTCGGATGAGCCGGCAGAAGAGCTCCTTTGATAAGGTGACTTCACTCTCTTTTCCAAGACGCTGCTGCTCAAAGTATGCGCGTCTCACATGTTGTAGTTCACTGTCAGTGAAGAGAACATATTCTGGGCTGGGTAACTTCAAAAACTTTGAAGTTCTGGGGTCATCTCGGTTTGAACTTTCATTATTTTCATCATCTGCTGATGAACCTTGGCCTTCAACAGGAATCGTGTGCCCCTAAAATACAAATGTATACTGTACATTAATCAAATCAGAAAAAGTCATTTTATTTTCAGAACATCTCATTTGTATGTGTAAGTGTTGATCTTTAACCACACCAACTGACATATGGTGTGGCTAAAGTACTGAAAATGTAATTTCCACTAACAGGTTAAATATCCAAAACACATTAAGTAAAATTACCTGTTCTTCCTTATGAGTCATAAGCCAAATGGCTTTGCGCCGCAGGAAGTGCTCAGGACCAGGAAAGAGATCCCGGATATCATCCCGTGAGAGAGTTGGTAAAATTTCTTCCCCAATGTTAGCAGCTTAGATTAGAACACATGTACATATGTTAGTTAGAATAGCTCAGGATTCTAAGCGTTATACTTTCTATGCAGAACTTTTCAGATATTTTAAAAATATATCCACATCATATAGCTATTTAGTTTACCCAAATAGAGAAATTTCAGTTTTGTAACATGGACCTAACAGGGCAGAAATATTAAATCTATTAAATGATTTGTGAGTAAAAAAAGGCAATAATGATACAGTTTCATAACACTTGACAATAAGGTTATTTTTGTTAGCATCAGAAAATTAATTAAGTATAATGAAAAAACAATAAACAGTTGTAGAGCATTTAACAAAATTGATTCATAGTAGTACTAATACAATAGTTCATTGTATGTTTGTTATGAAATAACCGATGTTAGTGTAAACACATTTAAATAAAAACATTTAGGTAACACTTTATAATAACTGCATGATATGAATCATCAGTTAGCCTAAGCATTACTAAATAGGTAGGCTAATTCATAATTCATAAAGCACTAAAAGACATTAATAAGAAGTTTATAAACGCAGCTATAAGCTAAATTCTTTTTTCTTTATTTATAAGCATCTATTATGTTTAATAATTGTATTTTCATACTTTATTAAAGTCGCCATGAAACGGAAGTTGAGATTATCCTTTTTTCCTTATTGTGACGTATATCCGAGTTAAACGGCTTCTGAGATTAGAAAAAAATGTAGGGGCGGGGCTTGATTTTATCCTTTGGGAATTGATTGGATCGTTAGAGGTTGGGCGTTGCAAACAAAATGAAGGCAGATTTGAATGCGAGTTTACAGTCAGGTTGTGGAGATAGCGTCAGTCACAATAGCCATGCTCTCTAGTAATAGATTTTGACCGGAAGAGATATACTACAGAAAAGAAATATTGCATATAAAAATATGAATGGTAAAATTTGATTTCATGACGACTTTAATGATCAATTTATCATTTCTAAATTAGTACATTATTTACAAACCAGATATTTAAGAGTTGCCAGTGGTTCATAAAATCAGTTAGATAGTTTATTAATCAAGTAAATGATTAATAAACTATTAAAAAGGTACATTTATACATATTATTATTTAGACATATGTGTTAAATGCTTTATTCACATGAATTCCTACTGTAATTCAAATGGTTGATTTGGGTAGTTATAAAGCATTTAGTAGTGGTCAGTTAACTATTTTTGTGAGCTCATCTAAAGTGAGGAATTTTTATGCCTCGTAAAGCTTTTATAAAAGAGATCTTAAGGCTCAGTTATCTTCTAAAGTTTAGGTTCTTAATCCTGATCCTGGGGTCTTGCAGCTGTGCAGTTTGTACTCTCCCTTATTTAACACACCTGACTCAGATCATCAGCTCGTTAGGAAAAAGCCATATAAACTGAACTGGGTGTATCAGATAAAGGAGACATATAAAATGTGCAGACAGTGGGTCCCAAGGACTAGGATTGAAAAGGAAACAAACACAACACAGAGTAATACACGTCTATGTTCTGTATCACTTGTGTTGTGTTTGTTTCCTTTTACTGTTTAGAAGATAACTGAGCCTTTAAATCTTGTATGTTAATAAAGCATTCATTAACACAAATAATAAGAATTTAAATAGTTTATTAAAGCATTTATTAACACACTGAGTAACTGTAACTAGGCCTATATGTCCAAATAATGTGAAATGTACCGTTAAATAGATTATTAATCATGTCCTTACACATTCTAACTGATTTTATGAACCACTGACAACTCCTAAATATCTGGTTTAAATAATGTAATAATTTAGAAATGATAAATTAATTAATAAAGTATGAAATACAATTATTAAACACATTATAGATATGCTTATAAATCAAGAATAAAGCATTTATTCTGTTTTTATAAACTGCTAATAAAAACTTGCATCACAATTGTGATTGTCAAAACATTTAGTAACTTAACAGAATTTTATTAAGTTTAGTGACAACTGTTACATGGTACAATAACTGGTCTAACGTTATTGTTTTCTTATTATTGCTGACACAAATTTCAAGATTTCAATTCAATTCTTGTGATTTGATTTTGATGTTGATTCAATATCGATTACTTTGGATAAATATTAGGCACAGTAGATACATGTTAATTTTTCTTAAGAAAATAATATCTCACCTAGGCCTGATTCTGTAAACATACAGAGCCCTGTCAGCTGGTTATTATTAATTATTATTAAAGGTTAAAAATAACAGCTATATAATATAATACATAGCCTAAGCCTAATATATAAATACAATAAGTTTTATTACAATAACAATGTTATAATATTTTAAGGATATATATATGAAGAGTTCAGATGCAAAAGCCTCTAAGTGCCATTTGAAATTTTCTTCTAAAATGATCATTTTTATCAAGCTTGTATATTTAAGTTCAGTTATTTCACTTAAATGGCAATGATAATTACCTATTAATTGTTATTTAAGTGAAATTACTGAACTTAAATATACAAGTTTGATAAAAATCATCAAATCATCATTAAAGAAGAAAATTTCAAATGGCATTTAGAGGCTTTTGCATCTGAACTCTTCATATATATATATATATATATATATATATATATATATACGTAATATAGTGCACATATTTAGCTAATTTTTCAAGCCAACTAACGTGCTACGGTCATTACACGCTTTCCTGAGGTAACTTTTTTTTTTTTTTTTTTTTTTTTTTTACAGTTCTCCAGTTTTATTGACCTCTTTCCACGGTTGAAAAACACTCATTGATATTATGTATGTTACACACATTTCGGTGAGTTACGTATCTTTCAACATACCTAATTGTTCATTCGTGTTTATTTACTATTAACATAGTAAAGAAGAGTAAGAGATATTATTCGGTTCACGTGCCGCTTGAACTGAGGCACTAACGTTACAACAGCAGTCACATTTACAAGTGCTAAAACAGTTTTTATTGTTCGAATTTCGTAATAAAATTGACAGAATCTGAGAGCTGATGATTCGTTTAATATGAAAAGTAACCTGCTCTATCTTTGTCTGTCTGTGTCAGTGTCCTCTTCGCGATTTTTTTCTCTGTGTGAGAAAATAATTTAATGTGGAGCGCGAGCGTGCTGAATGCGTCAGAGTTTGGCAGCTGTCAGCTAATTTCATTCCGTTACAGGTTGTTTCCAGTAGGAATCATTTTCGATAACAATTCAATTTCAAACACACAGAATGGCCAATAGCGGAAATTTGCAACACATTTTTACAAATGACTTACCTTTAAGTGTGGAAATCGCAACACCATCAAGTGCATCCATGGTGAGAAACTGGCGGTAGTAGGAAGTGCCACTGACTGAGTGAGTGCTCCTCATTCGCTGCAGTTGGCGCGTTGATTGCGCATGCGTATTACAAAACGTCGTCATGCGTCACAAGATCAAAGCGCGCGCGGTTCTCTTCCTCGTCCTGTGTTGTTGTACATGTTAGTTTGGCACGTTGGTTTCGATGGAAAGATACGATTTTAGACTCAACTCTTCGGTTTTATCTGAGGTACAAAGCTTGCTTTAATTTAACCAGAAACAATGATTTGGCGCTGCGTCATTTGTTATGTATTTGTGGCTCTTTCTCTCAAATCTTTATTGAGTCACATCAATTTTGCACATAGTCGTAGTCCAGATTTCCGCCTGGTTTGTGGAATAGATGGGTGCACTAAAGAGTACAGAGTCTACAACTCTTTTTGGTATCACATCAGACGAACACACTCACAATATCTAGATGGCGTGGGTAGAAGCAGATCACATCGGAGAGAGAGGTCAGCCAGTGAACCTCCTAGAAGAACAGTGAATGGCAACAACTTGTGGGCATATAGTGGACCAACGGCGGTGGATACTCAGGAGGATACTCGCAACTCAAGTAACAGTTCGGATAATGAAACGACATTGGGTAGTAATGTGGATCTACAACCGTCTCTTGCTGATCCTGTGGAACATTTTGGTGATTTTGATGCGTTTGACACTGGTGAAACAGTTTTCGCTGGCTTAAGCAGTAACACCGTTTTACAGTCGCCTCAGAACCCGGGCCCACAGGATGTACCGAATGAAACCTCGGATTCGAATCCCTCTCTACTCGTTCCAAACAGGCCTTCAGATGACTCCTGTTCTTCACGCCTCCCCCAAGAAACCACGGTAAATTAATAAGTTCTTATGTTGTTAATATCATAGCAGTAGCAGTAGTCTCTTATGTAACAGTATTATACATTAAATATAGTATTTAATATTTAATGTTTTCTTCGTGTTTAGAATGATGAATTATCGAGTGATGATGTGCTATCCAGACATGCCGCTTCTATTGTGATGACTGCTAGAGAGAAACACCATCTCTCACAGGTGAGTATCAGTAAAATAACGCGTGTGTGTGTTTGTTTTACATGCGTAACGTTTTTGAAAGAAGTCTCTTAAATGCTCAAGCCAGCATTGATTTGGTCAAATATACAGAAAAAAACATAATACTGTAAAATATAACAATATGCAATTATAACTATCTTTTTAAATATACTTAAAAAATATAATGTCTTTTTTTGTGAATCAAAGCCATATCCAGTATATACACCATTGCAAGTCCAGTAGCGGCTTCTGATAATAAATTTAGGTGGGGATTCTGAATGGTATTGTGGGCGATTTGAACGATTCTGATTTCAGTTCTTTTAGATTCTGATTCTTTGAGGGGTGGGGTCAAAACACGTCACTTCACAGAGGAAAATTTTATTTTGATTCAATAATGAGTTTTAGTTTTGTATTTAAAGGCACACCGCAAACTTTTGGCCACTGGGGCGCTCGACCTGTAACTTTCACGTCTAGCGCCTCTAGAGGCCACAAGCGGAGGAGAAAACCCACGTAATATAAAAATGTGTATAAGAGTGTTTCAGGTAGGGGTGTGCTAAAATATCGATATGGTGATATCTCACAATATTTACTCCCGCGATCGATTCTCGATGCGCTCTTGCCAAGTATCAATCTTAAAAGCCGTCATAAAACGCACACGCTCTATTCATTATCCGAGTTGACTATCATGAGGCACACACGCAATGTCTCTCGCTCACTCCCTCTCTGCCGTGTGTGTGCGCTATGTTATCTGCGCAGTATGTTCTGTCTCACATGCGCGCTCTAGATTCCGGGAGATTTGAACTAATTTGTGGTCATTAGGGAGACACTTCCGGGAGACTTGGGATGTCTGGCTTTGCAAAAGTCCGCTACACGGGAAAGACGACCACATGCACAGACACCTCACGCGTCATCACCCGGAGCTCTGTGAGAAAGCCGTGGTTGGTTCTGGCTCGAAGCCAACACACCCCGGCGTAAACATTTTTATTACTACTGATTAGGGCTGGGCGATATGGACAACAAAATTACGATAACATTTTTTTATATCAGTCGATATCGAAATGTATCACGGTAAATGTCAAATTTTTATTTCTTTTAAGTTTGAAGGCAGATTTTTGCTCTTAAGTGAAAGTTGTAGAAACCAGAGCATTAATTGTGGTTTTAAACTACTCTTTATTGTCAGAAGATATCATGACAAACAGGTGAACATTTCACAAATCTCAGGTAGAACATTCAAATGTGT